CGAGAACTCGGCAAAAGCTAACTAAAGACTAAGAAGGTTTTGACGACTAGTTTTTCTCAATATTAACACTCAGAAAATCCACTAGTTATCAAAACTGTTTTAGTTGTCATAGACCTTGTCCCTTAGTTTTCGAAGACTTACTTTGAGAGCTTGCCGATAACTTAATGATAGCTATCCATTTTGGTAAGGGTGTCCATTGTGCTGACAAACATTTTCATAATGTTCCAAGTTGAGTGTACATCTTGCTGGTTGTAGTTGTGGTGATTTAAATGTACAGAGCAGTGAAATTGAAAGATTTCAAATTGGAAAGAAAGTGAGAACATCAGATGATGCTGACGGTAATTAAAATGATCTTCTATTTCTTCACCAGTGGTATGCCTTGACTATGCAATAGGAGATTGTCTGTCACTTTCAAGAATGAATTTGTGCCTTATCCATTTTGTTGATTTTTATATTTTACTTCACTCAATTAATAATTAACAATACATATTTTTACTGATGTTCAAAATAGTGTGTACACATAAAATATCTGTTGTCTAAATAGTACTATTTTGTATAAAGTTAATACATCTATTTAAACAGCAATGGAATGAGTCATTGTTGCAAAGACCTTGTAGGTAGGCCATCTGTTCTGGCACCCCACTGTGTCCACAGATATGTGATGCTCATAAAGTAGAATTTGTATGTGACATGGGTAATTCTATGTCATTGTGGGAAGTCGTATTTTTGGACGTAATATTCTTTATAATACCAGCAGTCCAGCAGTCAGACAAGACAAGTACTTTCAAGAGTAGATCACAAGTTGTTTATTCGTGAACATAACATAGAAGCGCCCTGAAACAATTACAATGGATGCTTATATACCCTCGTGGGGATTCTGAATTTGAGCGGGGAAACTTAGATACAAATATACAATACTGTGATTGGTCAATACAAATATTGTGGTGTTGCCTCTCACGTTCGCTCATAGCACAGTGTTCAAGGTCGTATCCCGTTTTGTGACATTCAAGTTTAGGCGGTATAAATGTGAGGGCGCAATTCTGTGTTATAACCATTAGTTTCCGCGCATGCGCACTTCTTTCGTTTTCCGCCATATTTGTTTACCAAAAGATTTTAGGTCTCATGCCACTAATCAATTTAAATGCCTAGCAGGAACCAATAAAATTTTTTTAATATTATTTTTCTCAGGTGTTCCCTGTTTGAGGGCGCGATCACCTGGGTCAGAGGTGAGACTAACATGTGGTCTTTTGTTTACTACTTAGCGGCTGTGTACCTGTGGGATTATTCCGTGTGTATTTGGATGTTCTAATCTTGGTGTTTTCCCAGTGATTTCTCTAGGTGCAGTCCAAATACAGTAGGTGTGTCTTGTTTACCTGAGTTTTGCAAGAGTTTGAGCTGGCCAACATGTGTGTTTTTTTCATGTGGTTGATTACAGGCATGTTGATTTCCCATTTTAGAGCTATGTTTTCAACTTTGTTTATTATTTTCATATAGTAATCTCGTCATATGTTAACATTGTCGTCTATGGAGTTTCAATTAGTGGTATGAGCCCTTTACCAACTTTATTGCAAGATTATATCCGCTGCAATCTGATTGTCATCTTTGCCATCCAGCCGTATTATTGTTGAATTTGTATCTGGTAAGATTTGATTCTTTTGTATATTAAGTTTATTTGCCATTTTGTTAGTGTTTTTGAAGATGTTTTAACTTTTGT